ACCGGGGCAGATGGGCCCCTGGGTCTGACCCAGGGCAGCAGGGCAGGGGGGGGGATACCGGGGTAGACGGGCCCCTGGCTCTGACCTGGCACAGCCAGTGCCCTGCCCCGCTGGCAGGAGACAGTGAAGGGGCAGCGGTGTCTCAGGGGGTCTGTGAAGGCGAAGAGGGTTTTCCCGTCAGTCGATGCACCGTGGCTGGGGCTGGTCCCAGGACAGGGGCTGGACACGCAGGGGGGAGGTCAGAGCTTTTCCCGGCCCCACGTTGTCTGGGGGAAGGGAGGAGCCCACGGGCGGCAGCGCTCGGCATCAGGGGACGGGCTCAGAGCGGCAGAGCCGGGGCCCGGGGCCCGGACCGCTCAGCACCCGGAGTTAACGTGCCGGGAGAGACCGACAGTGACAGCCGCGGTCGGGACAGCAGGTTCTCGACGTCTCTCCGCGCGCTGGGAGCTCGCTGAGGGCTTGGTTCTCCTTACACCCCAACCAGTGACCGGCACCAGCTGCAGCCGGGAACCCCCCTCTCTGCGGGCCGGGGAGCGGTGGGGGTTCCCCAGCGCCCGGGGGCTGCTCCAAACCAGCATCGGGATTTACCGTCGCTGTATGGGGTGTCCCACGGTAATGTGCCCCAGTGCCCCTGGGACCGGTCCAGCGAGAGGCCCTGCAGCTGGCTGGACTCCCCGGCGGTGAGAGCCACTTCGCCCCCACGTGTGACCGGTACCAGCCGTGGCTGTGTCTGGTCCCTGAGTTCACCAGGCAGTGGGGGTGTGTGTGGGGGGACGCGCCGTGCGCACCCACCCTGACGAAGCGGGGCTGGAGAGATCCAGGAGAGGGGGACGCCAGCAGGGAGCAGAGCCAGAGCCCACCTCTGACTGGGACGCGGGTTTGGGGGCTGATTCCCCCCTTGTGCCCCCCATCAGTAGGGACGGCACTGGGGCGAGGGGGGCTGGGCGGGGAGAGGCTGGGCTGCGTGAGGGGGAACCAGGCCGCATGGGGACAGGAGCGGGCTGGCGGGTGAGCAGAGACGGGAACTGCAGGAGATGCCGTAACGCCCGCTGCGGGGCGGAGATAAAATCCTGCAGCTCAGAGCGATGCTGAACAGAGCACAGGGGTCTGGGACACCAGGGACGGGGCCTTAAACTGTCTGCGCTGTTTATTTGGTGAGCTGTTCGGGGCAGGGCCTGTCTCTCACTGCAGGTCTGGGCAGCGCCCGGCACGATGGGGCCCTGATCTCGGTCGGGGCCTTTAGGTACCACTGTATTAAATAGTAAAAGACAAACCCGAGCACTGTATGTGAAAAACGCTCCGTGAGGTCGGGGAGTGAATTTGCTCCGTGAGCGGGGGCAGGGCAAACACAGCCGGGATCTCAAGGCAGGACACCGGGGCAAAGCCCGACGGGGCATCTGCCTGGGAAGGGCCCCACAGTGCCTGGGCAGGGAGATGAGACACAAACACCAGCGAGAGCCGGGGACTCAGGAACAGACGCCTCAGGGTGTTTGAGCCCAAATCCCTGTCACACACAGACCCCTGCACACAGAGCTCCCAACCCCCAAGTCTCCGTCACTGTCACACATAAGCCCGGCGCCCCGGGCGGGAGGAGCGGGGGGATCTCAGGGCTGGCAGGGGGCGTAGCCGCTCTGTGCTGAGCGCCGGGGTCCCACACTGGGGTCTCCGTGGGGACAGGGCCCCCTCCCGTCACAACACGTCCGGGGCCTTTCCCATTCCCGTTCTGCACGGGCTGTGCTGGGGGGGGGGGTGTTGTTTTGTTATCAGCCCCTCCCCCCCTATCACCTTCCCCTTGCAGAGCCCTCTGTACACAGAGCTCAGCTGGGGAGCAACCCCCGCCCCCGTGCTGAGGGTCAGACCCCTAGACAGCCCTTCCCCCTGCCCCACCAGGGGCCAGGCAGGCCGGATTGGGACCCCGTTGGGAGTCACCGGGGGTCCCTCACCGCCTGTCTGGCGATAGCGTGCCAGCAGCCGGCCCATGATGCTGGATCCCCTCCTGGTACCCCACCAGCTCCTGCATCTGGTGCCGGAGATAGCCAAGGGATCCCCTTGGAGCCCTGCACCCCGTGAACAGGATGTCCCAGCTCTGCTGCGCCCCTGGACCTGGACAGGACGTGGGTTAGACGGGGTCACAGCCCCCCCCGGGATCCAGAGAGCAGGACCCATCACCCCATGTGGGAGAGCCTCCCAGCCGGGGAGAGAACCCAGGAGTCCTGGCTCCCAGCCCCCCCGCTCTAACCCTCCAGCCCCCACTCCCCTCCCAGAGCCGGGGAGAGAACCCAGGAGTCCTGGCTCCCAGCCCCCCCGCTCTAACCCCCCAGCCCCCACTCCCCTCCCAGAGCTGGGAGAGAACCCAGGAGTCCTGACCCCTCCCTCCCTCCCTCGCTCTCTCTCTCTCTCTGACCCACTGCAGACGTGGGGGAGAAGGGCGGGCAGCTCTCGGCGGGGCAGAAGCAGCGGATCGCCATCGCCCGGGCACTGATCCGCCAGCCGGCCGTGCTGATCCTGGACGAAGCCACCAGCGCGCTGGATATGGAGAGCGAATGCGCAGTGAGTGGTGGGTGCGGTGGGATCCGAACTCCGAACCCGGCCGGCCTGAGTGTCTCCGGTCTGCGTCGTGTGCGGATGGACCATAACGCGGCTCTGCTCCTCCCCCTAGATCCGCCAGTCGGTGCTGAGCCGGGGGCGCCGGACGGTGCTGGTGATCGCCCACCGCATGCAGACGGTGGAGACAGGGCCGGCTCTGGCTTTTTCGCCGCCCCGCGGGGAGGGCAGCGAGCCCCGGCGGGGGCTCCGCTCTCCCCCCCGCGGCCGGGGGCAGGGCGCCGGGGGCGGGGCAGGGCAGCGAGCCCCGGCTGGGGCTCGACTCTTTCCCCCCCCCCGCGGCCAGAGCGCCGGGGGCAGGGCGCCGGGGGGGAGGGCGGCCGGAGCCCTGGGGGGAGGGCGGCGAGCCCTGCTGTGGCCCCGCTCTCCCCGGGGGCCGGAGCGCTGCGCCGCCGCCCCCCTCCAGGTGCCGCCCCAAGCACCAGCTTGGGTGCCTGGTGCCTGGAGCCGGCCCTGGGTGGAGAACGCCGACAGGATCGTGGTGCTGGAGGGCGGGGCCGTGGCCGAGGAGGGGACACACGCCGAGCTGATGGGGCGCAAGGGGCCCTACTACAGACTGGTGCAGAGAGACCTGGCTGAGTAACCCCCCCGCCCCGGGGAATAGCCCAACACCTGCATTACGGTCCGTCCCCTCCTCTCCCCGGCACAGGGTGACATGGAACATACTGACAGCGGGTGATTAGTGTATGATGTCGGGTCACTGGTTTATCGCCTGCGTTGGGTTTCGGTTCTGTGCAGGGAGTCCTGGGGGGGCAGGCGTGTTCGACTGGCTGAGCGCGAGAAGAGTGTTTTGTAAAATACATTGAAGAGGTGAAACATCCGACCGGCGTCTGTGACGGTCTCTGGCTGGAAACGCCGTCGCTGGTCCCGTGCCCCAGCCCAGGGCTGCAGCGTTCGCTCTTGCTGGAACCAGGCCGTGGCTGTAACGCCCCACGGAACCAGTCGTGTTTAACGTGAACGTGGCCTCCCGGTCAGGCTGGTGCTCTGCGACCCGCCCGGAGAGCTGCGAATTGCGGGTCAGTGCGTGGCTGGGGCTCGGCCCCGGGCACTGCCAGTGCACGGCTGCAGAGAGCCAGCAGGAGGCGCTCCAGGCTCCGAGCGGGTGGGTCTGGCTCACAGTAACAGCAGCCGCTGTCTGTCAGCACCGGGGCCGGGGTCACTCCGGTTTCTATCCCAGGCTGGCGGAGCAGAGCTGATCCTGGGGAGGGGCCGCAGGCCGGCAGGGGGTCACTGGGTCACAGACGCTGAAATGTCAGACAGGCCTGAGCGCCTGGGGGCATGGGGGGGGGGGGGGAGACAGGCGGTTAACGATGGCGGCTGTGGGAACATTGATGGTCTCTGAGCTCAATAAAACTTAACAAGGCGAATGGAATCTCTCAGCTCCCCTGGCCACTGGTCACTATCTCCAGAGGGGGAAACTGAGGCACAAGTATCAGGGGAGTGATTTGTCCCTCAAGATTAGACAGCAAGTCAGTGGAGTCCTGGCTCCCAGCCCCCCTGCTCCATCCCAGTGTAACCACCAGACCCCTCACTCCTCCCAGGGCTGGGGAGAGAACCCAGGAGTCCTGGTTCCTGCTCCTCTAACCAGTAATGATTCATTCCTGAACCTCTTTGTGACTAAGATGGCAGAACCCAGCACTGGATTCCCCTGCGCTGGGTGAGGTCGCTGAAGGAGGGGGGAGCGGGAGGGAGAGATTTGGGGTGCAGGGTGCAGTGTTTGTAGAACAGTCTCTAATACCAGCCCTGCTCTGGAGGATGGGCCTGTATCTCTGCAGCTGGGAGCGGGGGTGTGACGATGCGGTTCTGGCGGAACCCAACGGAGAGTGCCAACTCAGGACAAATTGCTCAAACAGGGCAGTTACAGCCCAAGGCTGGGGTTTTTCCACCTCTAAGGCAAACCGAACCAGCCAGATTAGGAGGACTTCGGTCTCACCCCACTGGCTAACCGCAAGTCTCACAAGCA